ACGAAAAGACATGCGTATCGATGCACCTTTTGAATTTATTTCCTAGTTATTCATGCGACTAAGAATTTCGACAAGTTCAAGAGACTCGATAGAGTCCCGCACCAAGTGCAAGGCAGTCGACGAGGACTCTACTCGGAGACACTCATGGGGAGACTCGTGCACTTTTAAACTGTATCTAACTACGAAGATGCAGTTTATTCCAAAAAAAAAAAGTGGAAACCATGTTAACGAAAAATTGTATCACGGTAACAATAATTCCACTATACAAGCAGTTCTCATTGTACAACTTTGGCTTATCGGAATGTTTATTTCAAATCGTTCACGATAAACATCATGAATCCTAGATCTACAAACACCCATGTCGAAACTTGCGTATTCTAAGACCGCTTTTGGTCTTATCTCTCTCTTAATATCTGCCACTTTGAAGGCCTAAAGTAGAACCTCAATAGTATAATATACGTATAATAATTAAAATAGAATATAAGTTACATTTCTTGACATTATCTCGAAACCCAGTTAATAAAGAAACGACAGAGGAGGCCTCTCCCAAAGGTTCAAAGTAGGATCAAAATTTCAATTAGGGCAGGAGCCAATTAATTGAAGTCTAACTCCACCTGTACAACATCCATAATACAAACTCTTTATCCGTACGGATGCCTAATCGAGCTCTCCGTAATATCTCTCCTACCAGCCGAATCGACCCTGATATCGATCGCGAATTATCGCATCGATCGATCCGTTCAAGGATGATGAAGAAATCTTCCTATCTGCCGGAAGTAGTACACCGTCCGTCGATAAGGGATTAATCCATCATCCGACCCATCGAAGGGACATCGGCCCTCGGATGCACCGAGTCCCGTTGGCCGGATTCCCCTTTTATCCCGACAAAGGGTTAAGGACCTTCCGCGACGAGGAGAGCTGCGGTCCGGGGTTCCCCGGGGATCTCTCTCTCGAGGAGAGGCTCCGAGAGAGCCGGAAGCGCGCTCCGGACCCGTTAAGCCGCACATTTGAATAGAATAACGATTCGAATGTAGAAAATTCGAGCTAAGCCGCGGAATTGCGGGTACACCACTTGTGGGCACTCTCTCGCGTACTTTCTCGCGATGGGGCCAAGACAGACCCCGAATAGAGCGATTAAGGTGATGTGAAAAAATATATANGAACTTTAGCACATGATTGAGGCTCTAAAAAGAACGCGATGCCCATGAAATTTCATTTTTAATAAAACAAATATGTGTTCCTGGTTATAATCTAGGATAAATAAAACAATTTTTTCCTGATAATTTAAATTATATGAGTTTCGCTCCCTTCCTTAGGGCTCTTCGTAGTCACGTGTTGAAGTTTCAAATGATTCAGTACACCCAGTTTAGAGAAATTATTTATCAATATTTTGAGGTTTTACCTTAAGGTGATACGAAAGGGTTATTTTATATATATATGTATAAAACGTCAAAATATTTATAAACATATTCTCCAAACAGGATGCATCGAATCGTTGGGAACTTCAGCATGTAAGTATGAAGTCCCTAAGGAAGAACGTGGTGCTCATGAAATTTCATTTTTAATAAGTCATTTACTTCTCCCAGACTAGAACCAAGAATACATATTGCTTTTGAAAAATGAAATTTCATGCTCACCACATTCTTCCTTAAGGCCTTCGTAATCACGTGCTGAAGTTCCAAATGATTCGGTACACCCTGTTTGAAGAAACGTTTTGTACATATTATTACGTTACATACATAGAATAACCCTTCCATACGACCTTAAGGTGATATAAAGGGTTATTATATATAAAGTAATATATGTATATAATAACTATAATAATACAATTTCATGAATGAGACGCCACTTTTGTATCGCCTTTGAAGCCTCGGGCGATTTTTTCGGGGATCTGGAAGAGAGTCGTTGCGGATCCAGCAAGGGCACCGCGACGCCGACGTCGGCGTCGGTAGGTGGCGACGCGAATTTTTCATTCCGAAAGAGTCAGCCCTACAGCGTCGCGACGGCGAAAAATGCGTCGAGCTTTGTCGTCGCTACCAAAGGTAAAAATACTATGGTGTTTACAGCCGGCGGCGAGGCAATAAAAAGGTGTCATGGCACGGGCCCGAAGACGCTGTCGGGAAAAAGAAGGTCCTCGAAAGGGGTCTTGGTCGGCCGTGAGATACGCAGGCACGCACGTTGCGTGGCGTGACGCGTCGTAAAACATATTAGCTACACGCGGACACATACTGTAATTGCAAATATATAATTACGGGCGAAGAATGGCCAAATTCGCCGCGTTAAGGTGAAGTGAAACCCCCTTCCAATCGAACGATTCGAATAAGACACTTTTTTTTTAACGATGTTGGACCGAACTATCTGAAACTTTACGCATAACTCGTGAACACCTACGAGTTATTTCAAAATACATATTAGCTACACCCGGACATATACTGTAATTGCAAATATATAATTACGGGCGAAGAATGGCCAAATTCGCAGCGTTAAGGTGAAGTGAAACCCCCTTCCAATCGAACGATTCGAATAAGACACTTTTTTTTAAGGGTGTTAGACCGAACTGTCCGAAACTTTAACACATGACTTGTGAACACCTAAAAGTTATTTCGACCCTTTCAGAATACATATTAGCCACACGTTAAGAATTATCCTAACACTTTCAAAATACATATTAACTGCGCGCAGAAATTTTTTAACTCAGTTAAATCAGAACCAAAATGCCGTCTAGCTCTCATATTTCAATCGATATACAATTATTGAAAGCTCTAATAATGAGAAACAAAAGGGTGGGGACAATTGTACGATAATTTAGAACACTCCGGTAATCGAGAAACTCGCAATTGAACGGAACAATGGCATAAAAAAGTGTCTTATCCGCTTCTATGCTAAAACGATGGGAACACGAGATCTCGGAGAAGAAATTTAGTTGGTACTGAAATCACAGATGGCACACTTTACAGTCAGTTAGAGCATCAAAATCTATGAATTGAGATTTTCGGAGTTTTCCTTCGATTTATATATAATTATTGTACGGATACGACATACGAAGTACGCCATGTAGTACAATGCCCAATATAATTCAACACAGCTGTTAACATAAATTCGAACGTCGGCAAGATAGGTATTTAGAAGAATCCTTTTTACCGACGTCGATCAAATTTCTCGAAGTGTTTCGCTTTGACTTAACACATTCGCGACCGCTGACGTGAATTCACGTCATCTTAAATTCTATTCCTGATTGCCGCTGACGTGAATTCACGTCATTTTAAATTCTATTCCTGATTGCCGCTGACGTGAATTCACGTCTTTTGAAATTCTATTCCTGATTGCCGCTGACGTGAATCACGTCCTGCTTAGTTGGTTCGCTAATTGTTAGCCGGGGCGGCGCACAAATTTCATCATTTTTATCCTTGCTTTAACGATACAAGTTTGCGGCAACCAGTCACAGAATTTCATTATTTTCGCCGGTACACAGTATTTCAGACGGACAAAAATTTGCCGGTCGCGAATGTGTTAATATGTTAGAACGGTCGTGGACACATCCTAATCCTGATATGCGAATACATCCGCGAACACGAGTCATTATGGTTTCGCCGGATTTCCCTGGATCCGGACCGACCGCGGCGGAGCGAATTGCGGGGTAATCGCGGCGGATTCGCGGGGGGATCGCGGTGGAATCGGATAACGAGGATCGCCGAGAGCTCGCATCCTCGCCGGCTCATTATTTCTCCGCGGCTGACGCGTGACGGACGCAGCCTCTCGAGGGTAACTCCGTTCGGGACCTTTCGCCCAGGATCTTGGCCAATCCGAGAGCCCTGCAGAGGTTATATTTAGCGAGGCCTCGGGAAGCGTCTCCGACGCGGACGCGCTCTCGCCGGAAGACCTGCCAAGAGGTTATCCTTCTCAATGGCCGCTCCTCCGGGCCTCTGGACCCGCCGAGAGTAGACAAATTGCGAGCTTAGACAGAGGAAATCGCGACTCGCCGAGATTTCAAAGGGGTCTATGTGGTCCATTAGCCCCCTATGACTCAACCCGTTTTTCAAAAAAAAAAAAATATAGAACATGAAAATTGCCGAGTGGGCAAAAATGGGGGCTTAGACAGAGGAAATTGACTCGCCGAGATTTGAAGGGGATCTATGAGGCCATTGGCCCCCTGCGGCTCAACTCGTTTTTAAAGCAAGAAAATATATAGAACAGGGAAATTTGCAGATATTAACCATGTGATGTTGATTATTTGTTTATAAATTTATCCGCCGAGAGTGGACAAATTGCGAGCTTAGACAGAAGAAATCGCGACTCGCCGAGATTTGAAGGGGATCTATGGGGTCCATTGGTCCCCTGCGACTCAACTCGTTTTTCAAGCGAAAAAATATATAGAACAGGGAAATTTGTAGATATTCACCATCTGATGTTGATTATTTGTTTATAAATTTATCAGCCGAGAGTGGACAAATTGCGAGCTTAGACAGAGGAGATCGCGACTCGCCGAGATTTGAAGGGGGTCTATGTGGTCCATTGATCCCCTATGACTCAATTCGTTTTTCAAGCAAAAAAATATATAGAACAGGAAAATTTGCAGATATTAACCATCTGATGTTGATTATTTGTTTATAAATTTATCCGCCGAGAGTAAACTAATTGCAAGTTTAGACAGAGGAAATCGCGACTCGCCGAGATCTCAAGGGGGTCTATGTGGTCCATCAGCCACCTGTGACTCAACTCGTTTTTCAAGCAAGACAATATATAGAACAGAGAAAATTACAGGGAATTTTCCTTCGAAAAGTACCGCACAGTACTTAACAAATTACCGCGTATGGATCATTTATCTCGTAAATCGAGGATCCAAGGTACGCGGATAGAACGAGAATTTGGGGCTTTCTGTCTAGCAGTTGTCAGATATTTTTTTTTTACGAGGCTCTTGGGTTTGGGGTCACTTGAAATGAAGTTGGCCTTCGAGGTGCCTTCCTACCGGAAGAGGTGGCAAAAGTTGGTCGTGGACTTACCTCGCACCTGGAAGTGTCCAGTATCTCGACCTCGGTGGTGACATTGTCGATGGTGACGCTGTGTCGGTAGAGAAAATCTGCAAATAGAGAACGAAATCCGGTTAACGGGTTGAATAGATTCCCAGGGGAGCACCGCACCGGGTGTCCCGTATCCGCATGAGACGCGAGCGGAATGGAAGCGGAATCGAGACGGACGCGAAGTGTCGGGTAAAAAATTCTGCGGAAAATTGTCCCGCCATGAATTTATTAATATTTTTATACGTTAATCGGCGTAAACGTAAGTAACGTTTGCCATACTCAGAATTATTGTTTCAATGAAAATCAACAATGTAAACGTTGCGATGCAATTGTTACAACCTTACGGCAATTTCAAAGTAACAAGAACAGCTTCCAGTAAGGGCAATTAACCGTACATGTTCCAATTATTCGAGTTTAACTTATGTAGTAATTACTACATCACTATTATATATACATCAAATAACATCTTTATTGTAGCCAAATAAAAAAGTGATATATTTCTTAAGTGTCATAGTGCGAAATTTACCTGTACGTGGTACTAAAAAATATGGTTCAGTCACTCCTTGATTCGGGTTCCGGAGCCATTGTTACATCTGTCCGACATTGTGAGTTAGCGATAATCATATTTCTTTTGTAAAAATGTGCGAGCTGTTTCGATTTCATCAACTTTAAGAGAACGGTTCATTTCGGTATCGGTTATGCAGACGGATGGCGGATTTGGTTGTCGTCAGGATTCAAAGGAATAACAATCGGGAGCTCTGCTTCGTGCGCGTGCCGAATCTGGACTGATTCAAAACAACATTCTTTCGCCGGGGCACAAAGACGTCCCCCCCTTCGCCCCTCCCCACTTCCCCGGAAGGCACGACCGCTTTGTCCTCGAATTCGGCCGGGAACACTCTACAATTACTATATTTCCCGATAATTCTATTCACTCTACTAATTCTATTGATTTTATTGATTCTATTAATTCTATTAATTCCATTAATTCCATTAATTCCATTAATTCCATTAATTCCATTAATTCCATTAATTGTATTAATTCTATTGATTCTATTAATTTTATTGATTCTATTGATTCTATTGATTCTATTAATTTTATTAATTATATTAGTTCCATTAGTTCCATTAGTTCCATTAATTCTATTAATTCTATTAATTCTATTAATTTTATTGATTCTACCAATTCCATTAATTTCATTAATTCTATTAATTCCATACTCAACTCCCGTTGAACCCTTGTAATCGTAACTGTAAGATGCAACATCGCTCACACAATGTGCAGGGCGTAAGGCCAGAATGGAAAGCAGTCATAAGGAACACAGGTTATGTTATTATTGAGACGAAGAGATATACATAAAATTGGACCTTGTGACTGTCTCGCGTGAGGGCCGGTGGCGTACTGTTTTTTCTCCCCCAATGCGACACGGGCGCCACATCGTCTATCCTGGGACCTATCCCCTACGTAATACACACATGCTACATAACCAATAACTTTGTAACAATCACTGTAACCTTATTCAAGGCAACCTAAAGTCGCGAAATGTACGTTATTCTAACGTGACAAAATTTTTCCAAGTGTACTCTGAGAAAAAAAGTGTCATTTAACCAAAGAAATAATTCCTTGGACGGTACCAAAGAAAAAGATTTTGTTAATCCAAAGAATATTCGACTGAAATTAACTCGAGTAAATCCAACGTTTTTTCGGAATTACGATTATTTATTTGAGTTTATTTGAGTGAAAATATTCTTCGAAACATTATATATATATTATTTATTTATTTATTTGTTTCAATGAATATTTTTTCTCGGTGTACGCGACGAGTTCGAACTTCAGGAAGCAGTCTTGGCTCTCCCCGCTCTCTTTCTCCTCTTTCCTTCTCCCTCCCTCTTTATCTCTCTCTTCTCTCGTGTTTCTTCTGTTGGAAATCCTCTCGCGGTCGCGACGGGCGCGAACCAGGAAGACACGAGGTGGGTCCCCGATGCGGTTTCGAGTAAGCCATCTTCCATCGAGACTCGAAGAGAGGAGAACCCTCTCGATTATCGACACCTTATCGGTCGATTTGTCCCTCGATAATGTAGGAGAAAATGTCCCGTCAATGTAATCTTTTCCCAGGGGACATTGATTCCTTAATCGTGGGAATTGCGGAAATGGATTTCATCCGTCGATATTTGTGCCCATAATTATGAAAGTGGTCTGTAAAAAAAAAAAATGAGTTTACCAGTTATTTCACGCCATATTATTTCGAACGAAATTAATTCAATGTAATTTCGAAACAAAAAATATATGACTTAGACCACTTTCATAATTATGGGCACATTTAACCCTTATCACTCCAACAATACTGCCAACTCTTATACTCTTCTAATATTCTTGGAGCGATAAGGGTTAAGATTAGGACCAAACATACAAGTGTTTTTGATTGCCTAACAAACCGAGTTTACTCTCAAATATATATCGATATTTCGTCTTCTGTAATCCAAATTCCGTCAAGCACCGAGAAACATTGATTGGTCTCCAAATACTAATCTATCGATGTCAAGTACCTGTTTATAAACTTTCAATTTACATGCATTTTTATACCTTACGAACAGTGGTACAATGATAAGACGCTACATAAAGTTATGCTTGAAAAGATAAAATAACTTAAAAAATATTGATGTACGGAAAAGCGACTCCAGGGTCACGTGCAGGGAAAAAGACGTTTGCACTTTTAATAAAGAACAGAATTGATGATAAAGTTTTGCACGTAAAAAGCGCAATTGCTTAGTGGCACAACCAACGTCGACGCCAGAGTTGCAAATAATGCATTATAGTTTCGTTACGCATTACTTTCAAAATTAATAATGGCAATAGAATCCATTATCCATTCATTTGTGACGAGTAATAGGATGCCATTATTTTTTAATAATGGATTCATGTTCCATTAACCATTATTTTCTTAATAAGTAATGGATTCATGTTCCACTAAACATTATTATTTAATAAGTAACGGATTTATATTCTATTACCCGTTAAAGAAATAATAAATAATACATTGCTTTAAAATTTTGGCAAACCTGGTCGGCGTCATTCGGGGCGCCGCATAACAGTGCTCGAGAGAGGATATAAAAAATGCTCCCAATGACGAGACACTCCTTCCGCGGTCCAAATTGAATTTTAAGGAGGCCACCCCGGCGTCTACCTCTGTCGGAGAATAAAAGCAAATCAGGACTCTCGAGGTCGCCTTGCAGGTTGAATTCGCGGCGTGTCTGCTCCAGATTCGAGTTGCCCTAATGGCAACGTTTCTTTATGGCTCGTGTCCAAGAGCAAGTCAAACTTGCGAGAGCTACTTTCAGAGAGTACTTGCCGGTAGTGTATACGTTTTTAGAAGCGAACTGGCGTGAATTTATTGATAGTGTACACGCAAATTCGAGTACTTGCCAGTAATGTACACGCTTTTAAAAGTGAATTTGCGCAAATTTGTTGCTGGTGTACACGCAAATTCGAGTACTTGCCAGTAGTGTACACGCTTTTGGAAGCGACCTTGCGCAAATTTCATCCATAAAATACTTTGTTTAGTCGTAGAATATGGTTATTATATGAACAACCAAATATTTGGTTGACGTGACTTAATCCTTTGGTTAATAATTATTGGTTGATCACCTCAAATATTGCGTTAGGGCACATTAAATGTCAAAGTAATTTCGTACATTCAACCAAAATGTTCGACCTATTAACTGAAATATTTTTTAAAATAAAAGAAAAACGATAACTAAAGTCCAAAACTCTGGTTAATGGCACATGATGAATAAATGTCCTCGTTGTCAAGGATAGTCTTAGAATCTCGAGAATAACCGTGTCAATGTAAATACATTTTTTGGTAAAATTCACTCGTCCAGTTTTGACATGGAATGCCGATCGCGCGTTAAAGGATTCACATTTCATTCATTTCATTCGTTCATTCACAAAAAGATCCGTAAACGACCGCTTGCTCCGACTAGATGTCGAAAGAGAGAGTGGCACAGAAAACGAGATGGAGTGTGAAAGCATCTTCAACGAGCCAAAGACAATTCGAATTAGACGCGGCAAAGTTACCGATAGACCGCTCTGTCATTACGATTCGCGATCGGCCAACGGAATCGCGACTTTCGCCTCGTCTCGCGTCTCCGCGATTTAGCGATTTAAGAAGCGACAAGACCCAGTCGAACAAGACCTCGTCGGTTATCGTCACAGTGCTTACCGTTTATATATGTATACAGGGTGAAACAGAACTCGTAGTCACGGTTTATACAGCGCTATCTTTATTGAAAAAGGAGTCGAAAAGTCCTGTACCATTTTTCCTACAGTGCATAAATTTCCTGTAATAACTAATTGAAGCACAAGCAATCAATCGCGCCTCGGAACGGAACGCGATTAGTTGGCTGTGCTTCTGTGTTTTAAAAATTGTTTTAAAAAAATTAAATTTCGTCTCGCGTTTTCGCGATTTAACACGTTCCGTGCCACGCTGTGTACTACCCGAGGTTAACGCGTATTATCGGTGGTACACGTGGCTTTTATATATGTATACAGGGTGAAACAGAACTCGTAGTCACGGTTTATACAGCGCTATCCTTATTGAAAAAAAGAGTTGAAAAGTCCTGTACCATTTTTCCTACAGTGCATAAATTTCCTGTAATAACTAATTGAAACACTACCAATCAATCGCCTCCCCGAAAAGAACGCGATTGGTTGGCTGTGCTTGTTTTAAAAATTGTTTAGAAAAATTGAAATTTCGTCTCGCGTCTTCGCGATTTAGCGATTTAACAAGTTCCGTGCCACACCGTGTACTACCCGAGGTTAACGCGTATTATCGGTGGTACACGTGGCTTTTATATATGTATACAGGGTGTAACAGAACTCGTAGTCACGGTTTATACAGCGATATCCTTATTGAAAAAGGAGTCGAAAAGTCCTGTACTATCTTTTCCTACAGTGCATAAATTTCCTGTAACAATTAATTGAAACACAACCAATCGATCGTCTCCCCGAACGAAACGTGATTGGTTGGCTTTGCACTGTTTTAAAAATTGTTTAGAAAAA